CCTATGCCATAATGTTGTTTGAGAATAAACACAGTAAATGTGATAAAAAGCATCAATCATTGTTGAATCTGTTTCCATTGACCTCTTAACAATATTGATTGGTATAATATTTCCATAATGACTAATGATGTTGAACATCTTTGCATGTGCTTTTTGGCCATTTATATACATTCTTTGAGGAAATATCTGTTCAAAATCTTTGTTCATTTTAAAATTGTGTTAGTTAATTAATTAATTTATTTAGATGGGGTCTTGTGTTTCTCAGACTTGTCTTGAACTCCTGGGCTCGAGTGATACTCTCACCTCAGCCTCCCTCATAGCCGGGACTACAGGTTCATGCCATCATGCCCAGCTAAGTTATTTGTCTTTTGATTGCTGAGTTCTGAGAGTTCTTTCTTTATTAGATTCTGCGGGTCATCTTTTCTTTTCTTAATAGTATCCTTTGGAGTAAAAAAGTTTTTAATTTTTAATTTTTATTTAATTTTTAATTTTATTTTAATTTAATTTAACTTTTATTTGATTGATTGTGCTTTAAGTGTATCTAAGAAATCATTGCATAATCCAAAGTCTTGAAGATTTACTCTTGTTTTTATCTAAGATCTTATAACTTTAGCTCTTGCATTTAGGCTTTGATGCATTTTGAGTTAATTTTTGTATATGGTTTGAGATGGGGTCCAAATTTATTCTTTTGTATATGAATATCCAGTTGTCCCAGTACTATTTGTTGAAAAGAATAACACTATTTCTTTCTCTATTGAATTGTCTTGGCACCCTAGTTGACAATCAGCTGACTAAAATGTATGGGTTTATTTTCAGACACTCTATTTCATTTCATTGCTCCATGTCTGTCCTTATGCCAGTACCATACTGTCTTGATTACTATAGCTCTGTAGTAAGTTTTGAAATTGGGAATTGGGAATTTTCTAACATTGCTCTTCTTTTTCAACATTGTTTTGGCTGTTCTGGGTCCCTTGCATTTTCATATGAATTTTAGAATCACCTTGACAATTTCTGCAAATATTCAGCTAGAATTTTGATAGAGACAGCATCAAAACTGGAGATAAATATGGGGAGTATTTTCATTCTAATAGTATAGTCTTCTAATCCATGAACATGGGCTGTCTTTCCATTTATGTAGGCATTCTTTAATTTCTTTCAATATTTTGTGGTTTTCAGTGTATGAGTCATGCATTTTTTTTGTTAAAATTATTTGTAAATATTTTATCATTTTGTATGCTGTTGTGAATGGAGTTATTTTTAAATTTTATTTTTTGGTTGTTCATTGCCAGCATATTGAAATACAAATGATTTTTGTATATTGATCTCATATCCTGCTACTTTGTTGAACTGTTTTTATTATCCCTGACAGGTTTTTAAAATTAATTGTTTAGGGTTTTCTATATGCAAAATCATGTCATCTGCAAATAGAGATAATTTTACTTCTTTACCGATCTGATACCTTTTATTTCTTTTTATTGCCTAATTCCCCTGTCTAGTAAGTACTTTAGAGTGTTGAATAGAAATGGTGAAAGCGAACATCCCTATCTTGTTCCAGAGCTCAGGAGGAAAACATACAGTCTTTCATCATTAAATATGATGTGCCCGGGGGTTTTTCACAGATGCTTCCTATCAGGTTGAGGAATTTCTCATCTGTATTAGTTTGTTGTCACATTGTTATAAAAAACTACCTGAGACTAGGTAATTTATAATTACAAGAAGTCTAATTGGCTCATGGTTCCACAGTCTGTACAGGAAACATGTCTGGGAGGCCTCAGGAAACTTATAATCATGGCAGAAGGTGAAGGGGGAAGCAGGCATGTTTTACATGGCTGGATCAAGAGGAAGAGATGTAGGGGGAAGTGCTACACACTCCTTAAAACAACCAGGTCTCATGAGAACTTATTATCGTGAAAACAACACAGAGGAAATCTTTCCCCTTAATCCAGTCACCTTCCACCAGACCCTTCCTTCAACACTGGGGATTACAATTTGGCATGAGATTTGGTTGAGGACACAATCCAAACCATATCACCACCTGTCTTACTTGAATGTTTTTGTCATGAAAGAGTGTTGGATTTTGTCAAATGCTTTTTGTTTTCTTGTCTGTTGAGATGACCATGTGTCTTTTACTTTATTCTATTAATATAGCATATTATATTACATACATACATTTTCATAAATGGAACCAATCTTGCATTCTTGGGATAAATCCCACTTAATTTTAGTTTATTATCCTTCATGTATGCTGCTGGATTCAGTTTCGTATTATTTTGTTGAAAATGTTCACATCTATATTCGTAAAGGACATTGGTCGGTAATTTTCTTGTGATGTGTTTGTCTGGTTTTGGATTCTGGATAAGACTCACCTCATAGAGTGAATTGGGTAGCGTTATTACCACCTGTCTTCTGAAAATTTTATGAAGGATTGGTGTTAATTCTTCCTGAAATATTTAAAAGATTCATCTGTGAAGTCTGGGCCTCAGCTTTTGTGTGTGTGGGATGTATTAAAATTACTAATTAAATCTCTTTACTTGTTATAGATTTGTTTAGATTTTCTATTTATTCTTGATAAAATTTTGGTAATTTATGTCTTTCTAGGATTTTGTCCATTTTATCTAACTTATTTAAACTGTTGGTATACAGTTGTTTATAGTATTCACTTATAATTGTTTTGATTTCTGTAAGGTCAATAGTGATATCTTCTCTTTCATTACAGATTTTAGTAATTTGAGGCTTTTCTCTTATTTTCTTAATCAGTCTAGTTAAACGTTTGTTTATTTTGTTGATCTTTTTAAAAACCAACTTTTGGTTTTATTGATTTTCTTGTCAATTAAAAAAAAACCCCAACCAAGTTAATTTTAAAATGGGTGAAAGATGTAAGCAGACATTTCATCTAAGAAGAAACAGATTGCAAATTTTTTGTGTTTTAAAGATGCTGTAAATCATTAGACATTAGAGAAATGCAAATTAAAATCACAATGAGACACTTTTACATACCTGCTAGAATGGCTAAAACAATACCAACAATACAAAGTGCTCATGAGGATGAGGAGCAACTGGAACTCTAATACATGGCTGCTGGGAATGCAAAAGGATACAGATGCTCTGGAAAACAGTTGGGCAATTTCTTATAAACATAAACTTACCCTATAATCTAGCAAGCCTCCTCCTAGCCATTTACCCTAAAAAACAGAAAACACTTTTCTATGGAAAAAAAAACATATGTAAATATTTATAATGGCTTTATTCATAATTGTTCAAATCTGGAAATAATCTAAATATCTGTAAGTGGATAGCCATGAAGTGGAGTACTTCTCAGCAATAAAAATGAGTGAAATATTATACTTATGCAACACGAATGAATCTCTAATGTTAAGTGAAGGAAGCCAGACTCAAAACACTATATATTAGATGATTCCATTTATATAAAATTTGGACAAACCAAAACTGGAAGGGCAGAAATCAAATCAGTGATTGCCATGGGCTAGGTG